TTTTTGTTATTATGATCATGCTAATGGACGTATATGTAGTATTCACATAGCTCATGCAAAACTTCTCCATTCTAAGATCTTGTTGAAACATATAAATAGATCTTATATGAATACACTTTTTTATATATGTAAGAAATTAATTAATTGTTAGCCCGCTTAATTAGGCGAGTTACATGCTATTATAAAGCACTAAAAGAATGGAAGAATAAAAAAAAAAAAAAAAAAGGACGTTAACACCATTTATATATATATGCTTAAAGGAGTTGGACTACCTTTACATGAACCCAATAAATATTGTGCAACTACGTATCTGGTGCTCCAGCAGTGGCAATTGTGATCTCATCCTTCAAATAAAGCACAAAGGTAATGCTTGATGAAGCAGCTTGGAAACACGAACCATTAGCAGAGAAGATAGGATATAATACTAGAATTGAAGAGTTAGGACTAAGAAGGAGGTAAAACTTTGCGACGTATGATTCGTTTTTAAAGAGGAGATTGATGAGATCCTTTAACCATCCCAGTAGAGCTGAGTGAAGACCAGAACAACTATCAAGATGGTTATAAAGAAGAGAAAGAAAAAAAAAGATCATCACAATCAAGTTTAAAAGACTTACTTGATACAAAATTCCTCTTTGTGAGAGCTACTTTTACATCTTAAATCCCACAACGCAAAACATCCATCTTGAACCAGATACAAGAAGATTTGTAAGCAACAAAAGTTAGAGCCCTCTTGACCAAAAACATAAAGAAGTTAAACAGGAACATATGTATGCTCGACACGAACCAGAATCCATTGGATGTGATGTGAACACATTGATTTTACAATTCCTGCATGTCCTATAAGAACTCTAGTACACTTATTCTTCTCTACCTAGTTTCATAAATGGTTCAGAAATTAAACGCGTATAACGCACCTTGATCCAAGAAATGTCAAAGACCACATTGTGCACTACAAAGGACGACAGAGACTTTATCCAAAGACGAATTCATCGCGCAGTCCTCTAATGTCGCAGCGGCGGAAACTGAGGAGCAGGCGGCGGGATCGGAGAATAAATAGGCAAAAAATGCGTGAACTTGTTACCATCAGATGCGATCGCTGACTTGGGATTCTCGATTTTGAACGGAGATTTCTCAAGAGAAATGTAATGGCTCTCCGGTAAATCTTCGGCATCTGATAACGGAGAAGAAATCGAAGAGGAGAGTGTGGTGATTCGTTGTAACTTTGTGCTTCTGAGTTCGATGAAACTGTCTGCTTCATCTTCATCATCACCGATTCGATTTCGATTTCTACAGCGTAAGCTACCAAAACATCAGTTTCGTTGGATCTGTAGTTTTCAATTTTCTTCAACTTAAAGGTCTACGTATATTCTTTGATCTTTCTCACAAGGTGTGGGTTATTGAATTTGGGGCGGATTGTTTTGGTTGGATCTGTAATTTCCAATTCTCTTAAAGGTGTTTTGGACATTTTCATCACTTTTGATTCAAAAAAAAAAATGGTAAACAAAATTACAAACAAGACAGTGTGGCATTCTAGCTTTTTTTTTTTCGGAGAAAGTGGCTTTCTAGCCATTGATCCGAATTCGCCGCGCTAGGCCTGGGCAAAAAAACCGCTAACCAAATAACCGACCGAACCGAACCAAAAAAAACCGAACCATATCCGAACCGAAGTTTTTAAAATAACCGAATGGTTAGTAAAATCCCCTATCCAAACTAACCGGAACCGAACCGATAACCAAACGGTTAACCGAAATATCCAAAAACCTATAAGATACCCAAAAATAATATCCAAAACAATAATTATAAACTCAAAATATTAATTATTTTTAGAATCAAAACAATCAAATATTTTAAATAATCAAAATATCCAAATATTGTTGGTTATATTTGTAAAAGTTAAATACTCTTTTACAAAAGTGAATCAAATTTTAGTTTTTTCTAATATTTTTCTTTTTTTTTTTGTATTTTTTTTGGTTAGTTTCGGTATATTTCGGTTAATTTGGGTAAAAACCCGAATCAAACTGAACGTGATAAAAGTTTGGTTAGTTACGGTTATCTATTTTAATATCCAAACCGAACCGAACCAAAATTCTTAAAATATCCTAATGGTTATTATATTACCATATCCAAACAGCCGCGCCTCTTCGTCTTTCTTCAGAGAGACACTTTTCGCCAATTTGAAACTTTCCAGGTAATCTAATCTTCTTCTTCTGCTCTTCTTTTGTATTAAGCGTCGCCTGAGAAATCTCCTGGTCGGTTTTGAGACATTACCCTGTGCTCTAATTTCGGTTGATACCTTGACATGTCCGTCTATTCTTCGAGGGTAATTTTTGTTTTCCAAATTCAGATATAAGATCTGACCCAGTGTTGAAAAGTTACTAAAAAATCTGGTTTAAAGGTTGCGGTTGCGGTTGGGTTGCCATTATTTATGTGGAATATCCTCAGGTCGATTGAATCTGGCAGTTTTAGTTTTCTTTTCTCTCTTATGAAGTGGTTCTCTCTAGTTAATGGTTTTTGTTAAGTGTTTTAGGGAATAAGAACTCTGCCATTCATCTTTTCATGAACAATGGTATTGGAATGTGCATATTTTTCCTGGATGGCTGCTTCTTTTCATAAAGCTTTGGTTGGAATGGTTTGGTTCACATTTAATGCATAGTCTCTATGGCTTAGTTTTCAATCACTTAGAGATTACTGGGGCTCTGTTGAGTTTTTTTTAGCGCTAGCGTTTGGTGGATTTATGTGAGGCATCTTAATTTATCTGTTCTTTGTGTGTGAATCACCACTTGTGCTATACTTAAGAAAACGTTTCCCTTGATAGTTTTGTACTGCAGCTGATTTCGGACTAAATCAAAGGAATCATGGAGACTGTTTCAGAAACTGGTGTTTCAAATGACTGTCAGACGAATCCAGAATTGAGTGATAAGCAGAAGAAGAGATCAGGAAAAAAGAAGAGAAAATCGAGGAAACCGGAAGATGAGTTGAAGAATAATGATTCTCATATCAGTAGCCAAATTGGGAACGCAGATGAGGCCTTTTCATCTCAAGAGAAAAAAGAAGGGGAAGAAGAGAAATCCACCAGTGAAGATCATGTTCAGTTATCCGAGAATCTTTTGTCTTCATTACCTGCAGAGTCCTGTCAACGAGATTCAATCTCATGTGAAGAGCCTGGAGCTACACTATATCATACAGATCCAGTCATATGTGAAGATTCTCTACCAGATGCTAATAGGAAAGGTTCCAGTGGAAAAAAAATCAAAAAGGAGAGAGAAGAAGAAGACAGAGGACGCTTCCTGTGACGAGAAAATGTTGGTTGATGCAGAAAAAATCACCAACAAAGACCAAGTTCATCCACCCAACAATCCTTTGTCAAACGGTATAATACAAGAAGGTTCACATGAACACACTCAGGATTCATCTGAGAAGCCTGGAGCGGCACAACTTTGTACAGATCCAAATCTGTCAACCTGCGAAGATTCACAGCCAGATGCTACTAATATGACTAGTTCCCCGAAAAAAAAGAGAAAAAAGAAGAGGGGTAGAATTGCGCTGAAGGAAAGTGGTGCTGATACTTATAGTACCAATGCAGAGGTTGCTGTAAAATACAATTCTATTACTGAAGCTGAAGGATCAAGATCGATGAGTGTAGAGGAAAACTCCATTGCTAGTGTTTTGATTAAATAGTTGTCCTAAATCCAAGGTTGATACCGTGGAACAACTAGAGGGCAACGACGTCAAAATCAATGAAACTGTGTCCCAAAACTGAGAGTCCTAAAGCCAAGAAAAGGAAGAAGAAAAAGACCAAAACAATGGAGGTCTGTGACCAATTAGGAAATACTCTGCCAACTTCCACGAAAAGTGGGCCAGTAGAGTGTGTGGAAAATAATGATGGGAATGGTGGCCGAGAGTTAATTAGTTATTCAGCAAGTCAGAGGGAAAATTCTGTAACTGGGGAGGAAAGTGGTTTTCAGAATCTCGGAAAAGCTAAAGAGAAGGAAACAGATGAAAACACTGAAGTCAAAGAGGACGTTCTTGGAGCAGGTGTATGTGATGTAAGGAGCAAAAAACGGAAGAGAAAGAAGAAGAAAGCATCATCTGCAGATCACAAAACTGCAGATATGGAGGTCTGTGAGCCATCAGGATCAGTAGAGTGTTTGTTGGATCCTTCCAACGAAAAAGTCATGCAAAATTGTGATGAGAATGGCAGAAAAGAGTTTGGGGGAGAGGATAAGACAAGTAAAATTGAAGAATCTGCAACGAGAGAGAAAAGCGAAGTTCAGAAATCTGGAAAACGTAAAGAAATGACAAAAGATGAAAATATTGAATCTAATCAGGATGCACTTGGAGCAGAAGATGTTAGTGATGTTGGGCGCAAAAGACAGAAGAGGAAGATATAGAAGAAAACAAATTGCGAATCAGTAGCCACCATGGATAGCGAGTCAGTACAGTGTTTGTTGCATCAATCAAGTAGAGAATGCGTGCAAAATTGTGATGGGAATGCTGATGGGGAGATTGCCAGTAAGGATTTGGCTAGTAACATTGAAGATTCTGCAAGTAAGGGGGAAAGTGTTCAGGGTGTTAAAAATACCAAAAAAAAAGAAAAAAGATAAAAAGGGAAAAGTTGATCAGGATGCCTTGGGAGCAGAAGATGTTAGTAAGGTTGAGGTCACAACAAAGAAAAGCAAGAAGAAGAAAATTTTATTAGATCATAAAACTGACAATATGGAGGAGGACAGTCAAAAGGAAAATGAGAATAAGGGAGAAGTTGATCAGAATGCTTTGGGAGCAGAAGGTGTTAGCAAGGTTGAGGTCAAAACAAAGATGAGCAAGAAGAAGAAAAATTCTTTAGATAATAAAACTGATGATATGGAGGAGAAGGATGATGTTTCCTTACCTAGTAAAGATGCAGAATCAGAATTTGACAGGGAAAAGCTTGAAACGTCTTTGTCAAGTTCTGTCTTAATACAAAATAATGTGGCTCAAGTAGTTGCTTCATCAGAAACTGGAGATGTACCTAGATGCTCATGTGCAGGTCAACGTACCAGAAAGTTGGTTGTATTTGATTTGAATGGAATCCTTGCAGATATTGTTCAGGGGTTTACAGGTCCATTTGTTCCAGATGGTAAAGTATCATACGGATCAGGTAAGAAAGAATCAATTTCAATGTGGTCACTTGTAAGACGTACTTCTTTGACTGCAGATTAATTCCTTTGTCCTTAGTCTTCAGGAGGCCTTTTGTTTCCAGTTTTCTCGACTTTTGCTTTGAGAGATTTCATGTTGCGATATGGTCCTCCAGACGCGTGTAAGCTTCTTGAACTGATTAAAACTCAAATGCATTGTTTTTTTTGCTGTTCTTAGTTACTTGTCTTATACATATAGAAGTTTAATTCGTCAATTAACTCCATCTCCCCTTTCCCTCTTACTAGTGGGTTGGATTATATGGTGAACATTGTCATGAAAAACTATTCGAGGAATCTGTTGTTCTGTTTTGTAAGTGATCTCTAAACCTCGAGGTATTTCTAGATTTTCAGAGTAGATGGTGAGAAATGCAGTTGACATTGAGATTGTAGTAACACAGTCTACAATCTTTTATTAGCTCTATGTAACCTGCATTTCTTTGACTATGAGATATGTAGTTTACATATGAGCAGAACTCATTCTAAATTTTGGTCCAAAAACTAGCTAATGAACTCAGCAATCCTAGTCTTGATAATATGTACACAGGACCAGAACAAGTGCACTACAACGAAGTTTAAAACTCAGGAGAATAACGATAAACCTCTGTTCCTCAAGGATCTACGAACAGTATGGGACGGTTTTGGGACATGCACCAGTTGTGGAAAGCGAAAGTACGATGAGACGACAAGGCCTTGTGTAATCCTGTAAGTACTCTAGCATCTCTGAATAGGCTTATGCATTCAATGTCACTTTTAACCTCAACATCGTTTGGTATTGCTCTTCTTCTCTTTTAGCCACACACTGGAATCCCGTACCAGTTCACAGACCGTCAAGATTCTGCATTGGGTTAGTCTTAAATTACTCAACATTCTCTTTCAATGAAATGCTAAGAACAATAGCACACTAATGTTATGATTTATTGTGACAGGACGTGAGGGTGAGCTAAGGAAGTATCTTGAAAGATTAGCAGATGCAGAGAAGGTTCAGAAGTTTGTAGCGGAGAATCCATTCGGTCAGACTGCCATAACTGAGACACACGAGTCATGGGAGTTTTACTCTAAGGTCGTCGAGGCACATAAGTAATTCCTCCACATAGATGAAGTTCCTTGTGGAAGTTTAATTTAGCTCTCACATTAAACTCTGTTCACATTCTAATTGATATTGTATCTCTTGTGTTTTAAAGACTAGCGTCGATATACATTTATCCTGTTTTTGTTCATCTAGATTCAGATTTGTAATTTGTCTTCAAATAAGTTTGATTGTTACTCGTTCAAAGATACAAAAATCATTTTTAATATGTTTTGATGGATATAGAGTAAACCATTCAGAGTCTAATCGTCACAACTTGAGTCTTCGAGACATTAAAAAAGGAGCATAATCGTCTCAACTTCGATTCTTCGAGACAGAAAAAAAAATAACACAAGCAATAGCATAACTGCATAAATTAAAATAATTAACATAAAAATAAAAATGATAGTTAATAATTTCCACTAATTAAAGGAGAATAAGATTTGCATAACTTGGAGGAGAAGGTGAGAATCAGACATAAACCAAGTCTTTATTGATCACAAAGAACAATTCTGTTTTTGGCTCTCTCAATTTTATTTTCTTCTTCTTCTTCTTCTTCTTCTTCCTCCAGCTTCAGCTTCAGCTTCAACTGTACAAAAGATTGGTAAAAGGAGAAGAAGAAGAAGATCCATTAAACGGAGGGCGAAGAGAAGAACGGAATTATTGATTCCCGTTGCTCCACTCGAGCGAATTAAGATTCTTTTCCAGGTACCAAATCATTTATGGGTTTTTTCTCGATTTTATCCAGCTTGGTATTGTTTCTTCTACCAGAACTAAGATTGATTTGTCCCCTGAGTCATGTACTCGGGTTCTAGCATCGAAATCAAAGAGCTTTAGTGTTGTATTCTCAATTGGAATCTTTTTTTTTTTTTTTTATATATATATAGAGAAAGACACAGTCAAATTCTTGTTACACAATTGCTGAATTATAAGCTCATGATCATGTATTGATCTCTTTGTCAGACCAGAAGGGACGAGTTTAAAAGGATAGGACTTGTTGGATCAATCAACAAGATTGGCAAAACTGAAGGTTTGATGGGTTTCTACCGGTACGTTTGTCTTGAGTTTAAGAAGCGTTTTGGGCTCTAGTTCAGTCATGAGATTCTTAACCTCTTTTTCGGTTTTCCAACAGAGGGAATGGTGCAAGTGTTGCTCGGATAGTTCCCTATGCAGCCCTTCATTACATGGCTTATGAGGAATACAGGAGATGGATCATCTTCGGTTTCCCAGACACTACTCGAGGCCCTTTACTTACCCTCTTGACCTGGTCCGGACAAAGCTCGCTTATCAAGTAAGCTGCTTCGAATCTTGTGTGTTTTTTATGTCTCACCTCGACCTAAAAACCTAAATAGACTCATATGGAATTCAGCAGTGCAGGTTGTTGGTTCAGCAAAGGCGCAAGTAAAAGCTATTCCCTTGGATCAAATCGTATACAGAGGAATTGTAGATTGTTTCTCGAGGGCATACACAGAATCTGGATTCCGAGGCTTATATCGTGGTGTAGGTACATAATAATCATATCTTTGGATTTGTTAGATCTTCGTCTTCTCGAAGACTAAAAAAGATTTTTGAACTTTCATTTGTTGCGTGTGATCAGCTCCTTCTCTGTATGCGATCTTCCCTTATGCTGGTTTGAAGTTCTACTTCTACGAGGAAATGAAATGCCATGTCCCTGCTGAACATAAGAAAGATATTTCCCTGAAACTCGTTTGTGGGTCAGTTGCTGGATTGCTTGGTCAGACCTTAACATACCCTCTCAATGTTGTCCGGAGAAAATGCAGGTTTGATCTGGTTCTTCTTCTATCGCACACATCCTTGGATCTTCATAAAATGATCTTGAGTAGTATTATAACCGAAACTCCCTGCAGGTTGAGAGACTATATTCAGCCGTTAAGGAAGATACAAGAAGAGGAACAATGCAAACCCTTTTCAAGATTGCAAGAGAAGAAGGTTGGAAGCAACTCTTCTCGGGGTTAGCATCAATTACCTTAAGGTTTGAGACTAGTTTCATCGATCTGTATTTGTTTTTTGAACAATGGATGATTAAGTTACAAACCTTTTATTTTATGGGTTTCTCTAGGTTGTACCTTCCCTGGCAATCGGCTTCACAGTGTATGATATTATGAAGCTGCACTTGAGAGTCCCGCCGCGAGAGGAACCTGAGGCAGAAGCTGTGACGACACGGAAAAGGAAAGTTTTCACCTAATTCTAAGATCATCATATGATCTGATTCTTTGTGGTGTTTAAAACCTCAGATTATTTATAAGAGATTGTACATTCCATTTTTTAGTAGAGGAAATTGAAGCTAACATTCCTCCAAGTAAACTGTGTCAAGGACCTCTATGTAAATACAGAATTGCTTATAGTTTTTGTTCATTCAGGAATTTTGTTGAATATTTTCAAATGTAGTCTCTACCTGAGACACTCCGCTATGTGTCTGATCTCAGCAAAACTATAGAAAGATTCATTCTTACACATCTCAGAGTATTCACCGCCAAAACAAAGCTTGGATACTGATGCGATCAATTAGATCATATTCAGCTTGCCCAATTCAATCAAAAGATGAAATTTAGACCAAAGCTACTCTACTCCTGGATTATCCTTCACCACACATTTTACTCTAATCACCTCAATTTTGCAAAAAAAAATGCAGACAATCTCAAACTTAGAAGAATCCTCAACTATGAACAACCGTTCAGCAAATCATATGACCAGAAACAAGTCCAAGAATTCATTCGACAACAAACTGGACGGACTTGCTAACTAAAGTAACATATAAGTCGCTAATGCTGACGGCCGAAGATTCTTGATCGGGTTGCCGCTGGTAAGACAGATCTTATTCCCTGGGTAATAGTCAAGATACGGCCTCCATGCGCCACAGGTCGGATGTCACCGCCTCTACCCGCCAAAGGTTGGACGTCTACACCAATCTGTGAGCAGACATGATACAGAATGTCCAAAATCAACTCTTGATCACCTCTATCAGCCACACGTGCAAAACCAGCTCTCATTTCTTCACGCAAATCCCTGATCTGAACTTAGTAGATAACAGAAAACATTACACAAGGATATGACCAAAAAATAAAAACCAAAATGTAACAAGATCGATAACGTTACCTGACTATTTGTATCAGCAGCTATATTTCTTGTCTCTTCGGCATATCTGCCCATTTCATCAAGTTTGAGCGCCGCCTCATTTATCTTTTCATCCAAATGTTTGGAAAAAGCATTCATATCTCTAAGATCAGAGCTTAACCATCTCTGCAAGGGGGGAAGAATAGTTAAGAGGCTAATATTTATTACTGTCATAAAGCGAAAGAGAATTGTTACCTGAAATTTGATCCAAACATATCCTACTCCCAGCATTCCCGATGCAGCTAACACAGCCCAAAATATAGACAAATAATTGGTTTTTTCAGCACCTGTATAGATATTTATAGGACTTTGTGCATTCTGTGCTCTCAGTTCCTTCAGGAACTGATTAAAAAAGACATAATTCGGGTGATCTGAGGGAACATCAGGGTATTGCTCAAACTTTCCATCAACCGTTTTGGTTGTAAACCAAAGAATCAAGACAAGTATTGTTAGCTTGGAGGATCCTTTGGAAGAGGCAGTTGCAAGAAGGAGAGAGAGACTAGACAGTGGTGCAGGAAGCTTGAAGGCCACTGCATTGTCTTTTCTTACAGTCACCGCACTGTCTTTTCTTACAGTCACTCGAGGACCAGCCTGAAAATCAAAAAGATATGATTAAAGCGTTGTAGAAACATCAACATGATCAATCCAGAAGAGTGAGACAGCGAGAATTACCACTAGGGCGGCTTCTCTAGCAGGGCAGCGAGGAAGCTCAGCACAGTAAAGACCTCCAGGAGAAACATACTCCCGCTCAGACTTAATGGCGTCAATAACATCAAACCCTTTCAAGGAAAGGTTTGGAGATGCATTGTTCTCAGTAGAGAGTGTTTCATCTGCGAATCCCTGTAGCACAAAACACACTTGTTAAGATCTTAAATACTGACTGCCCTATACAAAGCTCATAATGCTTCACACTTACACTCTTTAAAGCCTGAAATGCATAGAGAAAAAAGGAAACACACTTCTAAGTTTCTATTTTCACTACCTGATTTTAACGTGAGCAAAAATCCAAGTAAATGCTAAAGAAACACAGAATATGCTAACAACACCAAATGCTAAAGAAACACAGCATTCCATTAACAAATTATGCTAACAACATCAAATCAGAGATCCCATAGTCAAATTCTGAGACAGATAGATCACAGCACAACACTAACGAAACGAGATCCCAAACAATCATCCATCCATAGACCGATAGTAGCGAAATCAAAAATAACCAAGAGAGAAAGAGAGGGGCGAGAATTTACCAGAAGGCCGGCTTCTCTAGCACCCAGGACAAGGCTGGAACAGGAAACAACTCCTAGACAAGCATCCTCTAGCTCAGTGTCAGGCTTCCCGGTTCCTGAGAAGTTGTAGAGGCTGTTCTCAAAAAAAGTGCAGTGCTTAATGCCTAAGCTGTGAGCACCTACATTAGGAACATAACGAGTTAGCATTTCCAAGAAGTGAGGAATACGGAATACAACCAGATTTAGCTAAACAGAGAGAGAAGTTAACATTTACAAGTGAGAATTACCGGATAAAATGACGGTTTCTCTCTCGCTGAATACTCTGGAAGCAGCACTTGCAAGAAGGAGAGAGAGAGTAGCCTGTGGTGCAGGAAGCTTGAAGGCCACTGCACTGAATTTTCTTACAGTCACCAGACGATATACTCGAGTACCAGCCTGAAAATGAAAAAGATATGATTAAAGCGTTGTAGAAACATCAACATGATCAATCCAGAAGAGTGAGACAGCGAGAATTACCACTAGGGCGGCTTCTCTAGCAGGGCAGCGAGGAAGCTCAGCACAGTAAAGACCTCCAGGAGAAACATACTCCCGCTCAGACTTAATGGCGTCAATAACATCAAACCCTTTCAAGGAAAGGTTTGGAGATGCATTGTTCTCAGTAGAGAGTGTTTCATCTGCGAATCCCTGTAGCACAAAACACACTTGTTAAGATCTTAAATACTGACTGCCCTATACAAAGCTCATAATGCTTCACACTTACACTCTTTAAAGCCTGAAATGCATAGAGAAAAAAGGAAACACACTTCTAAGTTTCTATTTTCACTACCTGATTTTAACGTGAGCAAAAATCCAAGTAAATGCTAAAGAAACACAGAATATGCTAACAACACCAAATGCTAAAGAAACACAGCATTCTATTAACAAATTATGCTAACAACATCAAATCAGAGATCCCATAGTCAAATTCTGAGACAGATAGATCACAGCACAACACTAACGAAACGAGATCCCAAACAATCATCCATCCATAGACCGATAGTAGCGAAATCAAAAATAACCAAGAGAGAAAGAGAGGGGCGAGAATTTACCAGAAGGCCGGCTTCTCTAGCACCCAGGACAAGGCTGGAACAGGAAACAACTCCTAGACAAGCATCCTCTAGCTCAGTGTCAGGCTTCCCGGTTCCTGAGAAGTTGTAGAGGCTGTTCTCAAAAAAAGTGCAGTGCTTAATGCCTAAGCTGTGAGCACCTACATTAGGAACATAACGAGTTAGCATTTCCAAGAAGTGAGGAATACGGAATACAACCAGATTTAGCTAAACAGAGAGAGAAGTTAACATTTACAAGTGAGAATTACCGGATAAAATGACGGTTTCTCTCTCGCTGAATACTCTGGAAGCAGCACTTGCAAGAAGGAGAAAGAGAGTAGCCTGTGGTGCAGGAAGCTTGAAGGCCACTGCACTGAATTTTCTTACAGTCACCAGACGATATACTCGAGTACCTGCCTGAAAATCAAAAAGATGTGATTAAAGCGTTGTAGAAACATCAACATGATCAATCCAGAAGAGTGAGACAGCGAGAATTACCACTAGGGCGGCTTCTCTAGCAGGGAAGAGAGGAAGCTCGAGAAAGACAGGAAGCTCGGCACAGGAAAGACCTCCAGTAGAAACATACTCCCGCTCAGACTTAATGGCGTCAATAACATCAAACCCTTTCAAGGAAAGGTTTGGAGATGCATTGTTCTCAGTAGAGAGTGTTTCATCTGCGAATCCCTGTAGCACAAAACACACTTGTTAAGATCTTAAATACTGGCTGCCCTATACAAAGCTCATAATGCTTCACACTTACACTCTTTAAAGCCTGAAATGCATAAAGAAAAAAGGAAACACACTTCTAAGTTTCTATTTTCACTACCTGATTTTAACGTGAGCAAAAATCCAAGTAAATGCTAAAGAAACACAGAATATGCTAACAACACCAAATGCTAAAGAAACACAGCATTCCATTAACAAATTATGCTAACAACATCAAATCAGAGATCCCATAGTCAAATTCTGAGACAGATAGATCACAGCACAACACTAACGAAACGAGATCCCAAACAATCATCCATCCATAGACCGATAGTAGCGAAATCAAAAATAACCAAGAGAGAAAGAGAGGGGCGAGAATTTACCAGAAGGCCGGCTTCTCTAGCACCCAGGACAAGGCTGGAACAGGAAACAACTCCTAGACAAGCATCCTCTAGCTCAGTGTATATCTAGCATATCATCTAATCCATACCTATGCAAATATGGCCTACGTATCCAGCAAGAAATGATACAGAAAGAGGCCAACTTCCCTGCTCAACCTTCGGGGAGGCCGCGTGTTTCTGCAGATTCCGAGACAATACAAAGAAAATAAAGCACAAGCCAATGAAATCGAAGACACAATCTCTGTCAATTAATAAAACAAATTTTCTTGCCTTAGCAGCGAGAATCGCTTCCTTCATTATCTTCTTCCTCATTACGATTTAGGGATTTTGCTTTTCCCAATTTCTCCCATGGAAGAAGACTTCAAAATTTTCTTTTTGCTTTTATAAAAGAACTCACGAGGGCTTTTTGGCTCAGAGCATACTTTAGGGCCCATCAGTGTGAATAAGCCCAACTTGATCCGTTGACATCAAAAATTTCTAATTTAAAAAAAAAAAAAAACAATCAACGAGGGCTTTGACTCAGAGAATTTAGGCCCATTAGTGTAAACAAGCACATATTTTTTGATGAGTTTTTTTGGTCATTTGTAGAAAAAACATTGTTGTCTACAAATGAACCCAAAATTTCGTATTATATTCTTTAGCCGTCGAAATATATCGATAAGAAAGAAAAAAACATGTTCCAAATAATTCATGTTGCTACGTTTGTTGGCGGCTTTTGTCATTTCAAAGTTTCTTCTAAACTCTTGTTCGTGAAATATGCAAACTTTTATGGATTCGTAATTCCAAAATGATGAATGGAAAATTGATGGTATCATACTGCCAAAAGTCATCAATGATGAAAGAATCTGAAAACATTTCAAAAAACACTTTGAAACCAACTGATTAAGTGGTTCGGCAAATGAACAAGTTGCAATTAGTTTGGTTCCGTTCGGGTTAAAAGTTTAGGAAATCTGGCTTATTCAGTTTGGTAAAAATTATACCGATTTAAAGTTGTTTAAAATGTATGTATCCATCGACTCTATATTTGTACTAGGCACATTTGTAGGATAAATGATTAGAAAATTTTAACATTAAATGTTTCTTAATCTGTGTGATAAACTCAGAATATCAATCTATAAAAGATTAAGAATTTGAAACACTTCTTGATTTCAATTGCTAAGAGTCAACCGTTTGATCCGTTGTTTGTCTACAAACTTACAAGTTTATTTACTTCAAAATGTTGCTTGTACATAGTAATCAAATATAAAAGAAATATGGATGTTTGTTGTTGCATGTGTTGCTTGTACATGATATGTACTAACCAAAAAAATGGCATAGAAGAAGTATATGGATGTAAGGAACCAATAAGGTCATATTCTTCTCTCAATGGCTCGGCCTAGAGGCAGTGGTTCCAAAGGACAGAAGATTCCTCTTCTTACTAATCACTTTGGAGTCAAGTTTGACAAAGCAAGTAGTTACTTCTTTCATTACAGTGTATGTATACTGTGACCTCTAATAATCCTATTTGTATCACTGCTTTTCCTGTTTTATCTCTAGGATACATGATAATGGTCGGATTTGTTTTTTAAAATTTGGAAACAGGTTGCTATCTCATATGAAGATGGCCGTCCAGTGGAGGCTAAAGGTATTGGCAGGAAGATTCTTGACAAAGTTCAGGAGACCTATCAAAGTGATTTGAACTTTTCTCATTTCAGTAGCCCCAAGCATATGGATGTAAGGAACTTGGCCTTTAAAAAAAAGATTACACACTTATCATCACCTATTTCATTAGGGGGATGTATCATCACATTGGCGTTAAACACATACGACTTCAAAGTTCAAGAAAAAATCGATGCACTTGTGAATTCTTTTTATTATACCCTTAAAATTAATAACATGGCAAAATTGATAGATGTTGGTGGTCGCGTGTTAGGGATACTATCTTCTTTAAAATATATATTTTTCTAAATCTAATTAAGTTTTGATTTAAAAAATATATATAATATATGACATTTGCAGTAATTTTTTTTTTATATAGAAAAGTAGTTATTTAATTTTTTTTGGGTTTCATGAGCCGGTGATTTAAATAAAAAAGTAGTTATTTAATTATAGGTCCTATTTTACGTTTCCACAAAATACTGTAATCATTATTAAGAAAACAGAAAGGGCTTCGGCAATAGGCCCATCAATATAAAGAGGCCCAAATTGATCCAGTGGACTCTTAAGTAAGATAAATAGGAGCAAGTGAGGACAAACTCATCCTCAATTCGAAACTCGACGATGATGCGGTTCCTAGGAAACACCGTTGCTAAGGTAATTTGAGAGAGATCCTTGTCTAATTTTTTTTTATCCATTTGTGGCTGTTCAGTGAAATTGATGGAACAAATTTGCAGTCTTGTCGCAAGGGGAGGTTGCAGAATCGTGATTTTTCATCCGCCGCCGGTGAGAATTTGCATTGTCCTTTGGATCAAAATTTGTATTCTCGTTCATATATCTGATATTTTTGCTTCAATTAAATTGTGTAGATATGACTAGCACCACCACCATTAGCAAGAAAATTGTTGAATATTGCTTTAAAGGGGCCTTTTGTGGTGTTGGATACGTGTTCGGTAAATATTGGATCTGTAGAATTTTGTTTTAAAGAATTGGAACAATCTTCTACTTCTTCTTCTTCTTCTTTTAACAATGATCGTTTTGGTTCTTCAGGTGGTCTGACATCAACCGGCAAGTCAAAGAACCTTCAGTTACATGAAGAGGTAAAAAAAAAAAAAGATAGCATTTGGGTTTTGTAGCATCATCTATAATTCCTATTCATTCATATGATTCTTCTTCTCCTGTTTCAGATGCTGGTTTCCCAGATAAAAGGCATAGAGCACTTGAAGGCATCATTGGTAAAAAGAAGTAGTTGTAAGATTTGAGTTGTGTCCAAACTTTGTGTAATGTACGAAATCCCATTGTCTTTTAATTAATGATTTAGCCCGATGTAGAAAACCAGTCCTCTACAGCTGCTCACAGACTCTCGTATAATTAAAATTAAGGGCACCGAAAATAAAATACACAGTCGCCTCCTGGGTATGCCTCACGTAAACTAAGTCTTCATCAGAGGCAAGTTGGTGCTTTGAAGACACTTCATGTGAGATCAGAAAATCAATTGGCTGATGCTCTTACCAAACCTCTCTATCCAAAACTTCATGTATCCATCCCAAGGAACCTGACCATGTGAGAAGTAAATAAAGTGGATCTCATGAATGTTGGACCAACTATGACACGCAGAAGAATGTCATGCTAAGTTGCTTAGTATATAATGCCTACTCTATAAAAACCCAAAAGAAGAGTATTTTTATTACCTCAATCACTGTTTCACCAGGCCTTATGGTATGCGGTTCCAAGTACCACACTACATACACAACATCCCATGATGTCATGAGTTGCATGCAACTGCATAGTGAACGATTGTCTGCAAAGAGCATGCAAGACCTTTTGTTACCAAGGCCCTAAACATTTTGGTTTTGCTGTCGTTCCACTGAAAGAAAACATGTTTAAATAACAAGCAACATAAAAGTAAAACAACAGTCATATTATTAGTAAGAAATGCTTCTCTCTCTTTTTCAGAAATGTCAAAATTGTCTGTCCAGGCTGATATGGAAGTCTTCAAGAGAATACCATGACATTACCCAAATACATAAGTCCAAATTAAATAAACAGGTAGGTAATTTAATAAACTTAAAGCAACAATGGGCACTAGTACAACACAAGAGTACAGGAATATAGAAATTGCCGGTTGCTCAAGAAGAAGAATTCTGGTTGAGAAGTTCCCTCAATTTATCCTTTCTTTCCTGAAACATGACCAATAAAACTAATGGTCAATGCACAGGGAACAATAAAAGAAGAAGATGAAGAGACAAGTCCTATGAGCATCAAACTTTCCTTACCTTCTCAAATTGGATAGCTAGAACATTTAGTTCTTCTGCACTCTTGATGGCCTCGTCGTACATTCAGTCTATTTTGTGCCAATGCTCTCTTCTCTTGTAAAGATCTGAGAAACATCAAAACTTTGATTGATCAATCTAGATTTGAAACGAATTATCAAAATCCACCCATGAATTCTCAAAGACCATACTTAGAAAAACGTGGCCAAAATATCTACCAAGAAATGCTCCACAAAGACCCAAGCTTTTCTGCTCCTTCCACGCTTTCTTGACGCTCAAGGACAATTGGGAAGAGGCTAGGGTTGAAAACGCTCTTCCAAAGTACTACAACAAATCTCGACACAAACTATACAATCACCACATAGCAAAATCAGAGAGAAATTTTTCGGATGAACGAACAATTTTTTTGCTTGTTTACCTTTGCGAAAATCGTCCGATTCATCGTCTTCTTGCTCCTGACCTGAGTCGGTGATTTAGGTTTTTCTTTTTCTTTTTTTTTTTGTAAATACCTTATTTATATTATAATAAGAAATTTAAATCGGAAAACTTACCTTTTCTATGGTGACGAGTATCTTTATTTAAAAGAAATATTTGCTATAAAGAAATGTCATTATTTTCAGATAAATATATGAGATATTCTTTATAATTAATTTTTGGATTACTAGATTGTCTTTTTTTTTTAATTTAATTATTATTATTAGATTGTGTTATGGTTCAGCTTTCTACTTGCAGCTATTTTACGAAGGATATACGTATTAAAATGAATCATGGAGGTTAAAATTTTACTCTTGTTAGGTATATATAGACTCACTCATAAAAATTAAGGACTAAACTCCTCACCATAAGTTAATATCTGATGACTGATCTCACAAAATTAGTGGGCCAAATTCAATATCTGAAGTTTTTTTTTTCAAATGCTTAGCCAATATATATCTAAATGAACTCAACTTTTAAGATATATGTTGGGGTCGGATTCCATCCACCGAGCCAAACTCCAAAGATTCTGAGACCCTGTCGGACAGCTCGGGATACCCTGCCGGACAGCTCGGGGTACCTTGCCGGACAGCTCGGGATATCCTGCCGAACAGCTCGGGGTACCCGAGCCCACTCGTCTCTGGGTACCCGAGCCCACTCTTCTCTGGGTACCCGAGCCCACTCTTCTCTGGGTACCCGAGCCCGCCTTCGCGAGGAAGCCTCCTAGCTATCCGAGGCGAAGTCGTCAGTTACCCGAGGCAGTCTTTAAGCCACTTAAACCAAGTACACCAAGTAACCCGAGGCAAGGACTTAGTAAATATTAACCCTCAGAGTATCATTTCTAAGCAAGGCCTCATTTCCAACAAAGAAGGATCATTTCCGAGATACCCGGAAATGATAAGGGAGAATCTCGAAGGATCGACTCAAATCAGGAAAACTTCCGAAAAGCTCCGAAGAATAAGGAAAGTAT